AGATAGGCCTATAGTTGTCAAAGTTGCTAGGGTCTTTGCCCTTTTTTAGTACTGGTATTACTATGGCAACTTTCCATTGGTTAGGTACGAGACTGGTCTCCCAGATTTTGTTGAGAAGCGTTTGCATGGTTTCCTTAGCTGTTGGTCCCATTCTAATTTGAAATTCCGGATGAATACCGTCTTTGCCAGGGGACTTTTTGCACTTGAACTGTTTTATCGCAGCATTAAGTTCGCAAGGTCTGAATGGTTCCATAAGTACATTATTTGGTGTTGCGATGTCTTCCTTAATTTCACCCAACCCTCCAACTTGTATTTTTAAATCTCTTGAAACATTAATGATTCAAAGAAATGTGATCTAAATATGTTCCAAACGGGAGAAAGGCATGCAGGGCGGGGTGTGGGGGGGGGGGGGGTTGGTCGAATTTGTCTCAAGTTGAAGGTAGATTAAATGCAAAAACGACGTGGTTGAGAAGGGTAGACATTCATCATTTCCGCGGTCTCTCATAAATAGTTTCATTCGTCATCCAACTTTCTTCTCCCTGTATTTACATGCAGCACTAATACTATTTTTCAAACTGCTTCCTGCGAGGCATTAGTGCGGACTGATCTTGATCTTCCTCTTCTCCTTTTGCTAGCTGGAAAGTGATAATTTACGCCATCTGAGAATGGAAAGAAATACCTACCTAAAGATAAGTAAAGGAAAAAATTCATTAAGGCTTGTCCTAAGTTGGAAAATGAGTGAGGTTGAAATTTTACTCGGGTTTATTTTTGACAGTTTGGGGGAATATGGATTGATTTTCAGCAATCATTCTTCATGCAATTGAATCTGTCTCTGCAGGTGATTACGGCTAGGTCATTGCACTCGTTCCACTGATTTTCAAAAATTTGACGCATTCTTGAAAACTTTGTCGCCTGAAAGGAAAACTTTATGAAGAGTTCCTTTAAAATCTTAGGTTCTAATTCCTCTTAAGTTTTCTTCATGAGAAATACCCGCTGTGCACTAATTAGTATATTGTACAGGTCCCAAATTATTTAGCTCTCTTTATGACTGCCTTAATTTGTGGGAAATGAGAAATGTCCTTGATGTAGTGAATAAAAAACAGAAATAAGCATTCACGATGCACTTGACGTGGCCCATAACCTGCTATCACTACCTTGAAACATTTATCATAACATGCACCTATTTTTCACCTGGGAAGTAATGTCCTACACTGCCAACATTTTTGTCTGCAGAGAGAAATGGAAACGATATGAAAGAACTTCTTGCGTTTTGTGGTGCCTTTCTCCTCATTCTTCTTCTTCGTCTTGCTCTCTTAAGCAGCCAGCTAAATTTGGAAAGACCTTTTCTTCTAACATTTTGGAATCTAAATTAAATCCGTATTTATGCCTTTCCCATTATCTAAAAAATTGGTTCCTACTGACGAGAAAAATTTTTCTTTTAAAGGCTCCGGGACGATTTGAAGGCCCCGGGTCTAATGATCAAGACAGCGGCCATGGCGATTCTCTAGACACGACTGGAACCGTCCTCTTTTCCAAACCAATCATTCAGCCGCGTTCAAAAAGTCCTTTTGCTACCAAATCGGGTCTGGGAGCAATTATAGATGGTGGTCCATTCGCACTGCAATCGAATCACTTCTCCGATTGCAGTCAAATGCATGGGAACTCTGATGAACAGTCATTATGGAACGGTTTATCCACAATCACTAGAAAAAATCAGGAAACTAAGACTCAAACTGCCACAATGGAGAGTTGTTCCACATTTATTTAGCCCCAAACTGAAAATCCCACCCCACCCCCCCCGCCCCACCCCTAATCAATCCTCATTCTTACCTTAAACCTGCTCTTCCACTTTGGTTGCGTACAGTCCTAGCATTCCAGTTTTGAATAAAGTTATTCCTCTCCTCTGACTATATATTACCCACTCCCCTTCCCCTCCCCCTCCCCCCCCCTCTCCTGCTGTAATCTCTCGTCTGTGTTTGGTGACAGTTGAATTCATCAGGGAAGAGAGGCGATAGAATTTCATGTTGTAATGTTTTATTGAGGGAAAATGCATTACACACAGCCCCTCTTGTCAATTCCCAATGCCATTATTCCTTAATCTCCCAATTACAGAGGAAATTTCATAATTGAACTTGCCTACTTCTTCGGAAAATATTTTGATTTTTTTGTTGGTGTGGTTGCATATTTTAAAGGAAAGTTAATTATTAGTTAATTGAATAACCTGCCAGTAAATTAGGAAAAAAGTCAACTTCACCACTAAGTAGTAAGAATGCAAAAAAAACAGAAAACCAGACGATTGATGAAATAGCAAAATTGTCACAGTAATTCTCCTTTTCTATGTTTCTTTCTATTTACTTATTATGTGCCAAAAATTAGGCCTAAATTTAATTTGAAATGATTTCATAAATGTTAATTTAGTTTAAATCAGCAGTGGCTATGCAACGGATTTACTTATTATGCAAGTGTGCTGTAAGTAATTTTACTGTCTTCCAAACTATTCGATTTAAAGATGTCCCCAACTGATTGTGCCAAGGTAATTGATTGCGAAAAAAACACGAAATTAGGCATACTAGTTTGGAATTAAGTGAACATATTAATAGTAAACGACTTACTTTCACAATTGGTAATATATCCGGATCGGTTTTACTCTGTGCGTTTGTGAATTTTGACGCAAACTTTCGTGAGAGGCAAGACGTATTAAGACAATTCGATCCGGATTTTATGCGCATAAAATTTATTAATGCTAATATAATTTTTAACCAAGTGAAAAAATTCTGATTACACCTGTAGTATAGTAAAAGACCGAAAGTTGCTGGCAAA